TGCAGACATGACCTGCTGGGCTGGTCTGTTGGTCAAATTTCTCTCAGAGGAAAGCAAAAGAGGACAGTGGTTGATTTTTAGACCTTTGCTGAGGTAGAAAAGATCTGGGAAGAAAATCAACTTCACATATAAGTATCGGCTGATCATCGATGTCCCAAAATGAAGGAAATCAGCTCTGATAAATCAGAGCACCCTTAGTTATTGCAATAAATGATAATATTGCTGTTTTGAGACAAATTTCAAGAGCACTAGAAAACTGCACTCTGGATGATCAATGATCTTTGAGAACACATTCTTAAAGATCAAAAAAACTTTCATTTGTAACAAACATTTAACTCCAGAACTGGAAGTCTCTGTACACAAAACTGTCTTTCAAAAAAAAAACGCTGAGTCGAGTCTAATGCGTCAGACTGAAGCTTATTGTCATCCAGGTTTTGGTAGTGAAAAGAGAAAAGCAACAAATCATGCAAAAGAAAATGATCAAGCATTGAATTGATCACACTATCAACTGATGTATTGCTTGCTGCGACAGGCATAGCTAACAATAAGTCAAGCAGCAGCTTTTCATGACTTAATCCATGTGATGTTTTGGGAGTCACGAAGCTAAACGGACCTTTTTTCTTCACTTGGCATTTAACGTCTGGATGATCGATGATTTCACACAAGGCCACACAGCTGAGCTGAGGACCCAGGATGCTCTCGCGCCAGCCGCTGTTGTGGGGACTGTAGAGGACGGCCATGCTGAGGTCGCTGGTGAGGTACGTCCCCTCTCCAAACACAGAGTTCTGCACGCATCACATCAGGTTAGACATCAGAAAAAAACTGTTTCGTAAGAGAAATGGGTTGGGCTGTCGTAAGCAATTATTTTAGTCGTCTATTGATAATTCTGATGATGTAGTTGCTACTTAAGCCAGTAAAACAATATGAGAAAATGCTAAAACAGTAAATGAACAACTCAGTACCTTAATAAGAAAATACAATTAAAAAACATTACTTTTTGTCACAAGTTTGAAGTATGATTTTTGTGATGAGAAATAAAACCTTTCACATTAACTTGAAAATTAAAAAGCAACCTTTAAATGAAACATTAAACACTGACTTTTATATTAAACTTCACCTTCAGTCTAGTTTATGACAATGTTTGAGGGCCATTGCAGAAACAAAATAAAATATTAGAAATTTTTAGATTAAGCACAGAAATTTGAGGGAAAAAAGAATGTTGTGTTTGAAAAGTTGAAAAAAGCGTAACATTTTTTATATCAATCTCAGAAATTTTTGAGTAAAATATTCCGAAATTTCCAAGATTCTTCTGGAAATTTTCTTTTTTTTTTTTAGCAAATTTCTGACTTTTCAAACTCTGAAATTTCCTTGTTTTTTGCTGCAAATGTACCCCTTTAGTATTTTTCTTCTATTCATCAACAACTCATCTGTGGAAAAAAAAATCCTAACTCATCTGCCTTAAAATGTTGCACTAAATAGCAAATCATAATTTTACAAATTTTAAGAAACTGTAATCTTCAGATGAATTGTTGCATTCCTAGATGTGTGCAGCATGTTTTATTTTTAAAGCTCAGACCTTGTTGAGGTGACAGTGCAGCCCGTTGTGAATGATTGAATGAAAGTTCTCCAAGCGGCTCCCGTGGAATGCGTAGAAAACTTCTCGTCCTTCTCTCATCTTCTCAAACCGGGTGTTAAAGTGGTCAGGGTACTCCAGCTCAAACAGGAAGTCTGGTACTGGTGCAGAAACCCCATCGTTTTCTGTCAGCTTGCAGAGTTTGGCATACTAGAGATCAAATGTGACACAGGATGAATAAAAGTGGGAAAAGATAATATGATGTGTGTTTATGTGCAATCATAGTGCTGTACCTCATCTTTTTGCAGCGTCTTCACAGCAAAGCTCTTCGAGGAAAGAATCCAGTGTACGAGAGCCAGATGATGATCTCCTTCTCTGGGCCTTAACCGCACCAAATCTCTCACACCAGGCAGGGAGTTCACATCTGCCAACTGAAGAACAAAACAATTTTTTTTTTTTTGCATATTAACACAAAAGCTCAAAATGTGACTGTGGAGGCAGCTTCCAGCGTTGGTGGACATATGCCCCAACTTCTGTGTCAGATTGAATACTGAGTATGTATAATCTGATTTCGAACAAATAAAAAATAAATAGAATGCATATTCATACAAAAGCCGTGACATCTGACACCAAATCAGTGGCAACTGTATGCGAAGCCGTGGCATGTCACTGAATTTGGAAGCTGGGACTACTAAGCTGTGGCAGGTGACACCAGAAGTGCCATTATTTTTCCTTCAACTTAATAAATGTACTGAAATGTGCAGTTTAATGTTATTATTTTGTCATAGCACTATGCTACATAATATAAAATATTGTTCATTAAGGTAGGGGTGCAGATGATAGTGCAATAAACCGTTGTAAATTTTACCTATTTTACATATGTTCCTTTAATGTGTAAAAACAAAACAGTTCCTTTAAAGTTGTGTGGTTTTCATATGCAAGGAGACTGACAAGCAAAAAAAAATAACATTAGTAGCACATTACTGCCACCAAGTGTTTGCGTAAAGTACCATTCTCTCTGTAAGTTTTGCAAGCATTCCTAATGTAAAAAAAATGTATTTCAAATTAGATGCCATTAATTGGATAATTAATATTTTAATGAATTTATTTATGGTAGTGTTCACATTTTCTCTTTTTCTGGTAATAACCACCTACATTTACTCAATTACATTTACTTCTTGGAAATTTTTTCCCTCCAGGGTCATTTTTACTAAGAGTATTTATCACTCTTACTTGCGTAATTTTATTATGAATTATTTCTGCTCTTCCAACTGAATGAAACACAAACATATTTTCACCAAAAGTTCACCAAATAAAGACACACAGTTTTACATTGACAAACATTGATTTAAAAAATGTTTCTTTGGTTTGATTTTGCATTTTGTAATTATGTTATTTATATGCATAATTTTGGTCTTTAAAATACCAAAATTTACACGTAACTTTATATTTAGTAGTGCTACTCTTACTTGAGTATAATTTTTAGAGGTGAGTCTGCTCACCTCTAACTAAAGATCAAATAATTTTTTAAAAGATGAATATTAACATTTAACAACTACTGAGCGTTTTATTGATAGTGATGCTCTTACCAGGCCCTCAAAGTCCTTAATATCACAACTTATGTAGCGAGGAGGGAAGGGTCTGAGCAAAGAGTCCCTCTTGTAGCTCTGTGCAGCAGCCACAAACAGGCTGCAGCGTAGGTCCGCTGCAACGGGGTCTCTGTGCAGACAGGAGCTCACCAGCTCTCTGACAGCTTCAGGTGGCAGAGGTGGCTGCATTCCCAGCACTGAACAAACAAACAGGTGATAAGATTCAAACAGGTTAACACCAAAACAAATGTTCTGTTTCCATGCACTTTATGTTCAATTTTAGGACCCAAATTTAAATTCAGTGTTGCACAGTCAAAAGTGTCAAGGTTAAATTAATTCGGCGCATCTGTTAGTAACGTTTCCCCTACTTTTCCTTTAGTAATTTAAAAGGAAAGTCATTTCTACAAGGGTTACTAAACTTTACAATACACCTACTTCACTTGACAACCTTCACTGAGGTCTAAATTAACTTGTACACCCAACTTCAAGATCAAACTTGACATATCAATGAAAACGGAAGCCTACTTATTAAACAATAACATTTAAATTCCGCATTTTTTGTTTTTGTTTTGCGTCTGCGAGCCTTTAAACTACAACCTAGTTGCTGTAGGGAAGCTGGCTAACATTAGCTGCGACAAAATATCTTCCACAACGTATCGATATCGATGTCAAATATAAAACGTCTAACTCCTATTTGTTAATTGAAGTGTTTAACAATGATTCACCGTGGCTAAAAGGGGATATTTCTGATTAATAACTGATCTTACCTGGCTGAAGTCTTCCTCAACTCATAGCACTACAGTACAGAAAAAGCTAACAGAATGTTAGCTTGATTTCTGCTGCGTTCAAGTGCAGTATGAACTTTGGGTGTCAGAATTTCACGTTATGAATGAGAGGGAAAATACAACTACAAAATAAAAAAAATATGTCTTTGTTAAGAAGCTAAAATGTGTATAAAACTGCGTTATCTATTCATTACTAAACCAAATAAAGAGATATGTAGTAAAATTGGCCAAACATTTTAGATTTTTCAACCCTTTCCATGACAGCAAAGCAGCAGACAGTGGCAGATACGAAGATACGCGAAAGCAGCACATATGATACAATAATGAAACATATTTCCTTCTACTTGGTGATCTTTTCCCCTTAATCTTTAAAAATACATTTGTTCTTTCCTCTTGCTTGCTATTCAAAAACCTCAAAAGAAACAATTTGCATAATATGATGACCTCTGACGAAGAACCCAATTTTTATTTTAATATTTGTCCTTTTATTTTACTACATAATAATATTCTTCTCTGTCAATTTACTTTACCATTTTAAGAACTTACAACTAAATGTCTTGCACAATAACTAGATGGCAAATATAAACAGAGTGATAAAATGTTAGTTCGGTCATAGCTGGGAACATTATATGGATAATTATATTGATAATTACATTCAGACAACGTCACCATTTAGAATCCCAAATTCACCAGACATATAGACATTTTAACCTCATACAAATTTGAAAAATTACAAATTATTTTCCTCTTACAATATTTGTTGTATGCTGTTAATAAATAAATACATAAATAAATACATAATAATAATAATAATAATAATAATAATAATAATAATAATAATAATAATAATAATAATAACAGAATAAAAAAAAAAAGAAGTAGCTTCCGGATTGGTAGCCAATCAGAGCAGATTCATGTTCGTGGACGAAATCTAAAAGGGGCGGGGCTTGGCGAACATTCCAGCTTTCTGATTGGTCCTGCGGGCCGCAGCAAATCCCGTCTCGCAGGAAAGGGAGGGGGAGTTGTTCGTTAAAAAAAGAAAAAGACCACATGTCACGTGACCACTCCTGACTCCCAGCCCCATCATTTGAGGAATAGCGGCCTCCATATATCCTATATATGTTTTTCTAAATAGCAAATTCCTCCTTTCAGCAGCGGGTATTATCAGAAGGGGAAAAAAATAACCATAAGATGCAATTTAAAGGAAAAGGAGGATTATAGCGTTATTCTTGGATTGTAGACGGGAGGTAAGACGTTTTAAATCAATGCATTTTCATTCATTAGACGCCTGGCTTGCAGAGAGGGCGGAAGGAGAAACTGCTTGATGAGATGAAGCGTATTGTGGCTGCTGTGTGAAAACCCTGGAGATGTGTAGGCAGGTTCCTGCTGGAGCTGCGCTTCGTCTGGACGATGAGGATGAAGCAGCAGCATCAGCAGCTTAAGCAGCATCAGCAGCATCACCGAGGCTCCGTGACTCACACAGGCTGAAGGACGCTCCTTTATCCGCTGTGATCACGATGCACCGCGTCCTGCTGCTGCACCACCGCTGAAATATTTGACATTATTTATTATTATTTATCATTATTTCACTAAAATCACCATCAAGCAGGACGTTTTTTGACAGATTCAGCTGTTAAGCTATTGGGGATGAATGTGTCCTTCATACTTCAATCACATATGCACAATCAACGATGGTTACTAAGAGTAAAATAATGTAAAAGGGGTTTATTACCACCAATTATATAAAGTTTAACAGTCATCTGTGATAAATATAGTGTAAGAATGTAATATAGTGGATTCTACACTCTGGTTTATGTGCATTTAAAGCATCTGGACAAGGCCATACTGTGCCTTACATTCAGCTAAATGTAGCTGTAATATCTACAAAATGCACCTCTATTTATCCAAAAATTGTACCCAAGAAAGAGTAGTACTACTTCAACATATTTTTACTCAAGTAAAAGTACAAAGTAGCCATTCAAGAAGTTACTAAAAAAGTATTTTGTAAAAAGTCTGCTCATGTGCTGAGCAGCTGATCAAATTACCAATATTTAATATGTAAAAACATGTAAATAAAAATGTAAATACATAATCAGACAGACCAATATATAAAGTTGGAATTTCAAGGCCAAAGTGATGATAATTCAAATAAGTAGCAAAATTAATAAAATCCGATTTGGAACATTTTTCCACATTATTTTTTTTCAATGTGAAACTTTAAGAAAAAGTGCAGGTGTGTGTCTGTGCCAGATGAATTTTTGGATCAAACGTCTTTGTTTTTCATTCAGTGGATATAAAATCCAGAAATTTTACTCAAATAAGAGAAGAAATACTATATAATACAATTATTTAAGTAAAAATAAAAAGTACAGCGTAGTGAAAAATACTCTTAGAAGTATTTTTTCCCCAAAATATTACTGATGTAAATGTAATTGAGTAAATATAACTGGTTACAACCAACTCTGTATTTCTGTATATTCAAAAGGAAATAAAGCTAAGTGTTTCAGTCAGTTCATTGCCATTTTCTTTTCTTTCCTTTTTCTTTTCTCTGCAGTCAAATCGTTGCAATAATTTAAATTTTGATCAGGCAGGAAAGAAGCAGTAGTAGTCTTGGTGATGTTCATGCAACTCTTCTTCTGCAGTTTTATTTCTGACGGCCTCTCAGATCGAAGTTTCTGCATCTGTTTGGAAAGTGGAGGAAAACACTGAACAGTGATCATGGCTGGTGAGCTTTCCCACTTTTGAGTCACTCAGATACACAAAGTGTTTCATTCATTCATTAGTGATTCATTCTTACTTTTCCTGTGTATGCCAGAAAACAACTTCCCTCCCTTGCCAAGATTCATCCCCCTCAAGCCATGTTTTTACCAGGACTTCGATGAAATCCCAGAACAACGGCGCTCCATGTGCAAGAGGCTCTACTACCTCTGGATCTGTGAGTGAATATAGTGAATATTTTGCTCTCTGTTGTTTACAAAAGCATCAGTTCACCTGCCTTCAGGTCAGTCACAAAGCTAAAGTGTATTATGGTTGTTTCCTTATGCCGTATCACGTTGTTCACCAAAAATTACATTGTTACATTTATTATTTTGACTAAAAAATTTAAAAAAAAAAAGAAATTGGAGGAATTTATTAAAATGACTATTGGCATTAAATAGTCATTAAAATACTGCATTCAGGCAAAGTGGTAAAAAATCTCTGTTTTTATTGTTGAAAATTTTGACCTTGGTTATTTTTATAAACAATAATATATTAATCACTAATCAATTATGTATGATTTTCTAAAGTGTCCCAAAAAGTATTTCATGTGCAGTTTTCCACATTAAAACCACAAAGTGCAATGAATTTTTTTTAATTTTATCTGATAAACCAAAACAAAGTAGCAGCATTGATGTGAAGTAGACATAAATACAAACCTTGATACAATACGATTTTATTTATGAGACACTCTAAATCAACACAGTTGGCCAAAACACTCAAATAAATTGATCCAGCAAAAAGCAAAACAATTAAATGAAGTGAAATGAAAACGTTTATTTAATTCATGTTCATTCGCATTAAGCCCCATTCCCTTTGATACGTCTAAATAAAATCCAACTCAGTAGTTTAATTAGTGAATAGAAGCAAAATGTTTGTAGTTTTACAGGAATCTCTTAAAGAGGGCAACACTGACGCAGCGTCAAGCCAAATACTGCAAAATTAAGCAAATTTTAAGGAACAATTTGCAGTTCATCTGGAAAAAAAGATGTTTGGTTTTAACAAACAAGCAACACATTTTCTGTTGTTTTAGCAAACAACACAAAATATACAAAAAATTGTGAATTTTTTAAAATAAAAAAATCCACAAAAAATTGTGAATTTTTATTTTTTTTAAATCCACAATTTTTATATATTTTTTCTACTTCTATTTGTGTTTCTACTGCTTTTAAAAAATGCCCAAGTGCTTAGAAAACCCACTGAGCCGTTTTTTGGCAATGAGTGAATGTTTTTTGGTGCCTGGAAAATGAGCCGTTTCAAAAACGTTCTGAATATGATGCCACAAATCAGTAGGTCCTGCCCTTCACCTAGCAACCCGAACTGAGTTCCAACATGTTTGGACAGCTCCAAAAATGTGCTACTTTAGATTGAAAAGAGAAAAGACGTTAAGAAGAAAGTTTTATGTTTTTACGCATCAGATTAAAATAATAATGATGGACTTTATCAGGTTCAAAATTTGACAAATCTGACCTCAGTTGTCCAAAATTCACAACATGGTCCGACCTGACAAAGGTCAAGGAAAAATGGAAGTGGTGTATGTGAAGCATACTGAAATGAGATTGTTGAGAAATTTTGACCCAACCCCCTTATCACAACAATGTCTCCTTGTGTGCATGACCCAATTTCACCAAAGCTGGTAGACAGTTGGCCCACATTTGACTCTGGTGTGCTTTGGTATTCAGAAGAGTTCCTGGTCAAGCTGTGCCAGGAGTGTATTCATAAATCCTGCTGCCATATTCCCTTCGAACGGTTTAGCAAACTGTGCTTTTTCTAATTAAATGGCCATTTAAAATGTTTAAAACGTTTTAAATGCTCTCCGAAGCCTGGAGATTTTAAGATACCCTTGGCTCTAAACTTACAGCTACATTTATTCCAGCAAAGACTAGCAGTTCCAGTTAGCTCAAGTTTTCCCTATTTAACATAGGAATCCACAGTGATTAAATCCTGCTGCACGATGAACCAGCTGATGGGTTTTGCTGCTCTGTGTCTCTGGGATGCTGATAGTGAACGCTGCCACGCTAGCCGTTAACCTGATTGGCTGCCTGGCCTGGATGTGCGGAGGTGGAGGAGCGACCAACTTTGGCATGGCCTTCCTGTGGCTCCTACTCTTCACTCCGTGTTCCTACGTGTGCTGGTTCAGGCCCATCTACAAGGCATTTAAGTAAGCATGCCTCCCTTTCAGCGGTTTTAAATAGTTTCAGCTGAATCATTTATTCAGTCAATCATTGTCTCTCTGCAGGACCGACAGCTCGTTCAACTTCATGGCTTTCTTTTTCGTCTTCATGGCTCAGGTGGTGATAAGTATCATCCAGGCTGTTGGCATCCCAGGTTGGGGGGTCTGGTAAGAGCTTTCAGCGTTTTATTAACTTTTACACAGTGCTGTGAAAAAGTATTGGCTTCAGTACAGATTTCTTCTACTTTCGCTTCGTTTCTTCTCGACTCACTTAAATGTTTCAGGCCTTCCTGCAAATTTTAATACCAGACACAGGGAACCTGACCAGTTTTGAAAATATTTAATTTCTTAATGAATCTAAAATTTTGGATGTTTTCATAATTCCAGCCACTTCTATAAACAGCAGAAGAGCTTAAAAAAACCCACAATGCCATTTTCTGGCAATAAGTTTATGTTTTTCTGGAAAATGAGTCGATTGTTAAATCACATTTTATGGGTACTGTACCATTGCCTAGCAACCCCAGCCTAGCCCAGCACAGTTATCTAGCAACCGTTAAAGAGCTCCAGCAGGTTTGGTCAGCTGCTTTGACCAGAATCTTGTTCTGACCTGCTTCACGTTGTCAGACAGGTTCTAATCATGCAGAACTGCCAGGTTTTAGGGCATCTTGTCAATTTAAATTCAAATGAAGTGCTTCTGGCCACGCCCCCCCACTCAACGTTTACACTCACATGTGAAAATGACTGCAAAGACTCAGCTGTACATGTTTGAAAAGCAGAAGTAGAGCCAGCCGCACAACCAACAAGAATGCAGCAAGACGTTTTTGAACGACAATGAAACGCTTGTCTTTTCCAGCAGCCATTGTAAAGTGCATACAACCATAAAACCAGCTGGCCAAACGTGCCAGAGCTCCGATTGGGTTGCTAGGTAACAGGCTGGGCTGTGCTGGGGTTGCTAAGTAGCAATGTTGGAAGGTTTTTGAAACAGCTCATTTTCCAGACGCTAAAAAATATTAACTTATTGCCAAACAACGGCTGGGTGGTTTTATAAGTGCTGATAGAAGCACCGGAAACCCAAATAGAAGTAAAAAAAACATGCAAAATGTAAATTGTACTTAATATGTCCCCTTCAAATGTTGAATTTTTTTTAGTTAATGATCCTTCTCAGGTTCTTTTGGGTATGCTGCATAGCGCTGTTAAACTGAGTCGTTAGATGAAAGCGCTGTTTGTCATGCATGCCATGATTTCACGGTTCTGTCATACGTGACTCAGGATCTGATTGTGGTTCTCCTCAGCGGCTGGCTGGCCACCATCACCTTCTTTAGCACCAACATCGGCTCAGCTGTGGTGATGCTGATTCCCACCGTCATGTTCACTGCCGTGGCTGTGCTCTCATTCGTTGCCCTTACTAAGGTGATCATTATGCTTTCCTTCGGGTGAATCAGGAAGCTTTTTTGATCTGAGTTGGGTTTTGCCTTTCAGTCGCGGTCCTTAAATTTGGTTTATTATTATTGTATTATATTATATGTATATTATGTGTTGTGTTTTTAACAAAAGGTTCAATTTCAGTTTGAGCTGTGGTTCATTTATCTTTTATTCTTTTACTAGTATGGTTTAGAGCTGTGGATTTTGTGCTTTTTATCCTTTAGTCTTTTTCTGTAAAAGATTAGATTTTCTGTTTTAATCTTGTATATTTATTGTACAGTTCTGGCTTGATAAGTTCTGTGATTATGTTTTTTTTATTTTTATTTTTTTACAAAAATTGCTCTGATTTGAATCTGCTCCAGTTAACAACATAATCAATTACTAGATTAGTTAACAATATTTTCAAACATCAATTAATCAAGATGAATCGATTTATTCCTACTTAAAAGCAGAACATGTATATATTTTTGTAGTTTTAATTACTGCTTTAATTACGATTAATCGATTACCATGAGTTTTTCAACAATCGATTAATCATAATTAATCAGAATAATCGTTTCAGCTCTAGTTTAGGCAGTGATTAATTCTCATGCCTTCCTTTGTCCAGGTTCACAACTTCTACCGTGGCAGCGGTGGGAGTCTGGGTAAAGCCCAGGAGGAGTGGGCCACGGGGGCCTGGAAGAACCCACACGTCCAGCAAGCCGCCCAGCAGGCGGCTATGGGAGCTGCACAGGGAGCCATGCAGCAGAACCAGTACTCAGCGGCTCCCACCTACAACTACGACGACCCAATGTAGGACAGACGGGCCGGCCGGAGGAGCGGAGAGGGAGAGCTAAAAAGGGAACAATTATGAACACAACTAAGAATTAGGTGCCCTTCATTTTAACGCAGGACAGGATCATTTTTAGGTAGAAAAATGTAGGGGAAAAGGAGACAGAAACGTACTTTTAAGCAAATTTAAAAGTTTTAGAAAGTTCAACAAATTGCTGTTATTGTTTTACTGCTCAGCATGTGTGTTGATTTCCTCCAGTCTGATATGGCTTAAAGAAATCTCCTGAGGTGTTTATTTGATTCATTCAGGTCCCATCATGTGTTGCAGTACTCAAACTCACAAATTGACATTTCCGGCTTGATTTTGAATCCTCTTTGTGTTGCTGCAAGGAGTAGCAGCTGGTTTCTCAGCTAATACTCATTGGCTAGCATCACAATATTAAGAGAACTTGTCTCTAATTTGAGGACTAGTTTTGAAAAGTGCAGCCATTCATTAGCAGCTTCCTAGCTAGCTAACTACTAGCACTTGTGTGATATAATGGCTTCCTAACTGTTTAATAGCTTTTCATCTTGCTAATAGCCATTATACAACCAGCTAGCTAGGGATATTACCTGGCTAGTTAGCTTATATAGCTAACAATCTGTATAAGATAACTAGCAGTATAAAAATATATCTGACTCTGTTTGAATGCAACAAAGGTGTTACAATCAATCTTAATTCTGCTTATTGCGTCTTAAAACAGTATGTCAGGGTTAAATTTAGTAAGTTTTCCAGGAGTCAAAGTCATTATTCTACCTTCTCATGTTGCCGCTATGCTAGGCTCATCTGCTAGCGATAACATCAACTCTACAGCTGAAGCTGCAGTTTAATCATGAGTGATTTTTTATTTTTTTTTGTCAATTAAGAAATGTTCACTGGGTGATAGATTCAAACAAATGTGTTGTCACCTCTGGTAAAAATGTGTTAAAAACCTTGTTATAAATGCATCTGTCATTGCAGCAGAATAATCCCACAATAGAAAAATTCAATCCAAACTTTATTTTGAGTGTATTTATTTGATGTAACAAAAATGTTAGGACGTAATTGTTAAGTTTCTAACTGGTCAAACAACATTTGTTGGGCACAAGGCAAGACAAATGTTCTGTCATAACGACCTAGACAGAAATGATTCAACAATTTAGAGAGAAAAATTTCAGAAAATGCCAAAATTAGCACAAAAATATAATAATAAAATCCTACAAAACAGTTTTAGACAGTATATGAGCTAAAATAAAGTTGAATGAGCTAAAATAAAGTTGATTTGGAGTTAGCTGTAATATCCGCTATTCCATTTTATTATATGATTGAAATTATGGAAATAAATATGTATAAAGGAAAGAAAGCAATTTTGAAAAACACGTTTTTCAATAAAAGGCTGAAAGGAGGAAATTTCGCATCATACGAGACAAATCATGTGATCAACAACCAAATGTTACTTCTGACAGAAACGACAAAGACGACAACAGGAAGTGGAATGAGAACAATGGCACAGCATGTTTTTAAGCCATTTATTGCCTAAACAAACAGATTCACTTTTGATTTTAATTGTGTTTCTTATTTAATGGAAACACAGCAGCTGCAAAATTGTAATTTTTTGACATGAGCGAAACATCGATAAAGTTTAGGCCACATTTGTAATGGAAACACGGCTTCTTTAAGTCAGATGTAACCAAATCAACTGGTTCCAGTTAAAGAATTAAAGCATTGGGTTTTTAATAAACACATTTATTTCTTAACGTTTTTTTCTTTTCCCTACTGAACAGTTATGTTGAAAATTAGATTTCTAACATATTGAAAGCCTGATTTATTTGAAGGCCTTCACATCTTTACCAGTGTTGCCAATTTATCCTCTTCTGTTTAATCAAGCTTATTGTTCTGGGACCTGTTTTGTTTTAAGATTATTTGATGTTTTTCACATTCTCAGGTAAAGTGCGATAGCCGTTTTTAAGCCTGTAAAACATCAAGCTTTTTGGATTTATTTTTTTGCTTTATTACCCCAGCTTACCCATATTGGAGTGTTTGGCTATAAATGTGTTGAACAGGCTGATTTTGGTTCAGTTTTTAGGGATTTTATTGGATAAACATTCCAAATCAATGTTGTACAGGGGAAGAATGAAGGAAAACCAAAACTGCAGTTAAAAAAAAGACACAAAAGTGGTAAATTATGGTAATATTTGTTGTAGGTGCTCAGAGTGATGGATGTTTCCTTTCCCTCTTTGGCATATTCTTCCATTAACCCCCTACATGTGGATGCTTGTGAACATAAGGCCTTTCATTAGTGTGTCATCTTGTGGCTGTTGGTGTTATTCCATAAATTAATGTAAAATAAGATAGAATATTAAATTGAAAGTGAATTATTTCCACTTAAGACTGAAGGGAATGCGTGAGATTTGGTGAATTTTCCAGCCAGAAAATTTCCATCTAGTGTAATTTTTTTTGTTTTTGAGAACTTCCTCAGCATTCAGTAGACAGTTATTACGGTAAAATAAAGTATTTCGCTTGACAAAGCTGTGAAGATGTATAACTAAATGGTCATTATTTCAGAAACTCTGTGGGTCGTCTTGTCCCGTTGTGATGATGTGGTTTTTAATAAGCTCTGTTTTTACTTTTCTTGTTTTGGTTTTCTATGCACCGCTGTTTTTCCTGTGTATTTGGGGTAACGTGAGGTCGAGACTGAAGCACATGCTCATTGAGTCCCTGTGGTGAAGTGTTGCTCAAACTGTAATTATTTGAAAGTTGTTTTTTCATTTGAACCTGCAGTATGTAACTTTTATTTTTAAAAATTCTATAAAAATTTCTTCAACAAATTTTTACATATTTGTTGAAGAAATTGATGTTCTTCGTGTTCTCCTAGTGCAAACTAGAAACAACCAATCAGAGTTAGGAGGCGGGTCTTAGCGCTGTCAATCACCCTCTTGCTAGTTAGCATAGCCACTGTTGTCGACGGATAAATGGTTTCCCTGTAATAATGACTTGTTTCTCTACTGTTGGGACATTTAAGAGCCAGTACACAAGCTTCATTGACAGCGCTAAACCCCGCCTCCTTGCTCTGATTGGTTGTTTTTGTGTGTTTTGTCAGACAGTAATAGAATCTGATGTAGGAGGTTCAGGAGCTTGATCTTTTCACTGATTATCTGTCTCATACTGTCAAAACACGGTGGCATTTTTAACAAATATGTAAAAAAAAAAAATTATATCTATATTTAAATAAAAGTTAAATACTGCAGCTTTAACTAAATGTTTGTGCTGGGTTTCCTGTAGACATTCACAATAAAGTAAGTTGAAATTATGGCGAAGCAATACTTCCTTATATAATCAACAGAATCCAGTCAGGTTCAGCACAAACTGGCTTCTTTTTAATTACCTGGCTTTATTATAGGCTATTATGAAACAAAAAACAGGCTTGATTATTGATTATATAACCTTTTTTTCACCAGCAGAGGCACATGAAGTAGTTATTACTGTAAAGGACACTACACATCTGCTCTTCCCCCTCCTGTACAGTAAATGTAAAACATTGCACAGACATATGCAGTTGCTGGGATTAGATGTGAATTTATTGTTTCCCAGTAGCTGCTGGTCATGGGACAGATGTCACTCTGCATTTCGTGTCACAGTATCAAAGCCTCTGGAAGCCATTTTCCATCTTTCCCACCTTTGCTGTGCTGTATGTTGTATGAAATGTATTATCATATATTCTATCATAGGTAGTCCTGAGTATATAATGAGGTAAATATTTGCCACATTCAGTAGGAACATGCTGTATTTAGATGAAATAAATGTTTGAGGAGGCTGTGTCTCCATAAGTGACGTAAATGAGGAATAACATTTTTGTGTATTACTTTTGTATTATTTGGTCTTACCCTGATAGAAATTAAATCGTTCTTGTTGCAGCCTCTTTTGTTCTTTTTCATTTATTACAGCAAATTATTATTTTTTTTAATTTAAATTTTCTTAAATTTTTTTTTTACTGTATTTCTTGTTCTTGAGAAAATTGGCTAAATATAATGAAAATATTGGCGATTCACTTGAATATAATTTATTCTTTTTGTATTTTTATGCGATCTTGTTTTGAAATTTTTTAAAATTAGTTTTAAATAATCAAAATTCAATAGAAGTCTTTTTTTTGCCTAACTCATCTTTTGGCAATAAATAAATAAAATTAAAAATTTGATTTTTGGAAAAAACAAAGACTTTTAGGACAATATTGTATATTTAATGAAAACCACAACAAAATTTTTTAACATGGTTTAAAAAAATCTCAACTTAGTTTCTTTACTTTTGATATTTCATTCATTTATTTTTATATATTTTAATCTTGAGTATTACGGGTTTCAAAATATATAATCTAAGAGCTTTTAAAAATTTTTGAGCAATTTCTGGGGCTTGATGTTTTTGCTAATTAGTTTTTCCTTGTACATTTAAATACACAATTATAATTCTGTGGAAAAAAATGTTTACCCTCAAGTTTTCTACCTAAGATAATCTACCTTAACTTTTTTCATTCAGGCTAAAAAAAAAAGTAATGTATTGATGCTTGGCTATCTGGATATATGTACATTTCTATTTTTTTTTTTTAAATAAATGCAGTTCTAATTTTTAAAAACAGCAGAAAACATTGAATATTTTAAAATTCTTTATTCATAAACTTGATGCAAGTTTACAAATTGCTGTACATGGTCAAAATATCTTCAAATGGAAACTGAAAAATAAACAGATAGTGGGGCGAGCCAAAAGCAAGATTCAATCGTCTCTCTGTTGGTGATTCAAACAGATTCAAAATTCAACGACAATCCAGAGAAAACTGAGGTTTCCAAACAGTGATCACTTCCTGTCCGTCAGCGTCCTTTAACATCTCCTGTGATCAGCGTTTCGGCTTATTTTTTTTAGGAGGCATTTTACCAGATGAATGAAGACTTTGCAGCTAAAGTTGTTGGTAAAAATGCCAAAAAAATGTGAATTTCCTGGTGAAAAACTCTCCCCCAAACAAATGCAACAACAGAATATGGAGCGAGATTTTTTATTAATTTTTTTTATGCCTCCGACCTGATAATATGAACCTCGTATCTTCCTATAGCGATTCTCCAAGACCAGCTACGCAAACGAGCCGGAAACATTTGATTGCACACCAGAGCTGGGAGTAAACAAAGCAAATATTACAGTGGATATCGAAGAAGAGGTACGTCATGCTACAGAAAACCCCACGCTCCTTCCGTCAGCGTCTTCAACGTCGACTGAATTAAAGATGAAAATAGACGTTTTTCTAAAACATTTAGCTTCTTTTTGTTCAGCCAGAAAAACCAGATAACCCAAAGCAATTATGCACGAACCTTCGGGTGAGTCGCCGATTACCTGAGTTGCCTTTAAGACATACTTTTGCAGACAGTGTTAGCAAATAAACTGCAAAAGAAACATCAGATTGAGTTACAGTGTGTTACAGGAGGGTAAAATGTTTGAATTTCAAGATTTTTAGATTTGCGTCAGATTACCAATCTCCCTCTAATTGTAATGTATATAAAAAATACATTTTATGTAACATTCTGGAGACAAAAAGGGTTCTGGAAACAGGAAAGCTGAAAATAACTGACAAGGTGTGGCTATTAAACAGCAAACCAAGATGTTTTAACAGAAAAAGTAATAAAAGGTCCAGAAGAAACTGGTAACAAATGGTTCAGTTTTAGATTTTGCAAACTGCTTTTCATTTCTGAAAACATTTAGAGCGCTTGAAGTAAGTTTACTTTGAGTTTTTATGGTTCAATCTGGGCACAATCTGTTAGACTGTATAAAAGTCAACAGGCTCAAACAGCAATAAGAGCTAAAATATGTTTAAATTCAGGATAATTTGAGGTTTCTGTGATTAAATGTCAGATTGAAGCATTTAATGCCCACTTTCAGCTTTTACAAACAACAAATAAGTCAAACATCAACAGCAAACGTAAATAAAATGGGTTGTTTACTGTGAATATTTAAGTAAGAAATAATCTAGAATAGCTTATTTGGTGAATTAGGGACAAACTTTCTGTTTCTTTTTACTCTTCTGACTGCAGAAGAGTAAAAAGAAAGAGATAAAAATGTTTTGGTTAACTTCAAACTGAATTAAGAGTGGACTCATTTAATAGCCACACTTTGTTAGGGGGGAAAAACAAACAAAGATCTTCAGTTTTCCATACAGAGCTGATTCCAGCGCAAAGAAACAGATGTGAATGAAAATTTGCTGCCAAATCTGAGCTGAAAAATCGAAACGTCCAGCAGCACTTTGAGGGGCGAGAACAGAAACAAAGCAAGACGTAAAATATCTTCTCATCACATGTAATCTTCCTATTCGGGTGATCTTCGTTCAGAGACGCTGAAGCTTTTTTTTATTCTACACTTCATACATTTTGAAAAGTGGAGCCGTTCGTCTCGGCTTTAAGATCCGATTCCCAACATCTTTTATTGTCTAGGATGTTCAAATAACAACAACAACAAAAAGGTTTTCAAACAATGTCCAAAAACTATGAATGCATTTATGTACCTGTTAATTTCCAAAAGAAAAGAAAAACAAAAAAAAATTAAATCAAATCACAGTTAATTTAAAAACTGGTGCAATGAGGTGCCACTTCAAGAGCTTCGGTTTTGATCTTTTTTAAAAAAAAGAAAAATGTCATTTAGACAAGAGGGAAACTGACTGTGGGGCTCCACTGCGCCAAAGCAGCTAAAGAAAAAATATTTCCTCACATCTAAAGGGAGAAAAATCTTTTTTTTTTTCTCTCTCCTCCCCAAAACAAAAGAGAACATTTAGAAAACGGGACGAGCGATGCCCTCGCCTTCTCCTCCTCACTGAAGCTCCGAGGGAAGGAGAGAGGGGAACAAAACGAAACCAGAGTTTAGTTTTTCCAGGAGAATACTTATCAAATGAGGCAGCGAGATGGTTTCTGTGAGAAAAATGATATATTCCCAGTAAGTCAAAGAGGGAAAATATTTTGAATAAAACAAGTTGACCCAAAGTTGACGTGTTCCCAGTGCATAGTGGTGGCAGCTCCTTATCCGTCCTCTTTAGGTGGTGTGTACCAGCCTGGAGCAACAACCAAAGGAAAGATTGGATGTTTTGAAAAACTAATTAAGACTCTAATTTTTTTTTTACATACCGTTCTTTTCATGAATCTGCACCAGGGATTTGTACGACTGTTGTGCTCTGGCAAGATTGTACTGGTTCTAAAACACAAATGACAAAAGTTGAAACTCCTAAATGTTCATCCTGCTTTTGCCACATAATTGCAAAATGTTTTTTCTGTGGTAAACAAACTCAAATTAATGCATCAAATTAATTAGGAGGAAAAAATCAAACCACCATATTTTAGGCCTAGTCCAAACATAGCCGGCCAGCTGGGAAAACTAATATATTTTTATGCGTTTTGGCTTTTCATCCACATGGAAACTCTTTTTTTAAATCATCAAAAGGATTATTTATAAAAACTACAGCATTTATGGACAATAAATGAATGATGATATATATCGCGATAGAGACGGGATCAACAGCCAATACATCTGATAGAATATTCAATAATATCACCGGGCTTAGATCCAGAACCGCTCGGCATTCTGGGGGAAGTAGGCTTTAGAGGAAAGATTTCAGTTGCTCAACTTTTCATGGTGAGCTAAGCAAAGATGGTCGCTCTTTGGTTACCTGGCAACAGCCAGTTCAGTCATTTGCGCAGCAGCAGTTTCAGTTGCTTAAAAAGAAAACGTAGTGGCGTGACCTCCTGCTAGAGGTCACACCACCCGCTTGGCAGCATTTCAGATTTTAAAAACAAAACATCTAATTAGTAACTATCAATATGAACCAATAAGAAACGCTGATATTGTGATGCGTTTTCCAGCCATATTGTCCAGCTCTAATAAAAACTCCAAACAAAAGTGAAGATTTGAGGAAAATTAATTTTACATTTTAATACGCTGTAATTCAACCAATCTCTCTGTCCACACCCATGACAATGCTGACGCCAAGTTTGATTCCTGACTGGAAGCTGTGGTTGTTCTGGAAGCAACCTGATTGGCTGACATCACTTTTAGCTTTGGGCTACACTGCCCCCTATGGGTTTGGCATGTTTAAAACCCTCGGTGGCAGATTTCTGTGGGTTCATGTGGATGAAAGCATTTCTAAAACTCATCCTGTGTACGGTATTATTTTTTTAAACAATGTGGGTAAGATATAAGTTTTTACAAAGCCCAGGCTATGTTTGAATGAGGTTTTGAGTGTTTGGCTGCTGCTGGAGAAAAAACCGACCACATTTCCTCACTCCACTAATTTCTCCTGCTTCTCTCCAACCTGCATTATTTGCTGTTATTTGAACTCTTAGCTTTACAACTTCCTCTCCATAGAAGAGGTCTGGCGTTCTGCTGGGCTCTGGGTTTCTTTAAGAGACAACTAGGCATTGTTTGATAACTAAGTTTAAAGGTTTAAATCAACTTGAAGGTCTAAAACTTTGTTTTTAGGACAATGAATCATGATGAGACCATACCTTATTGGCTCCAAACTGCACTCTGGCTTTGCCTTTAACCAGAGTTGCATTTATCTGCATAATAACAGATTCTATTGAATAGGCACTGCTCCAGCCCTAAACACACACACATATAAATAAATGAATGCAGCTCTCTAATCACCAGAGATGAAATTTAGACACTAAGAGACTTGTGAACGTACCTGTTTTGTGAGAAGTTCCATGCACAACGCTCCTCCTCCTAGAACATAGCTGAAAACAAACATCATTCATGTTTTTAATTAATGAATAGTTTGTCAAGACATGAACAGTATAACTGCAACATTGAACTTACCCTCCAGAAAGCACAGGAGAGACAACCCGTACAAAAGGAGGGTCAAAAGGAAAATTATCCTGTCAGGTAGCAGAGAAAA